AAAATGGAAGCCGCTCTTGTTCTGAGGTGACTATGTGTTATCACGTGATCAGTCTCAGTAGGTCATGCAACTCCTCTTTCGCATTGATTTCCGGCTTGATGCGGTATATTTCCCGTGCCTCCATGATTTTCCTTTCCAGTGGCCGTACCAAATATCTGTGCAAAACCCTCACATCAAAGGATGGAGCGTTTTCTTTCTCATGCCTAAGTGTACGGTGCCTGGAAAAACTGCTGTGTGGATAGGCAGCGGGATTGGCCAACGCTCTTCTATGTTCATCCAGACGAATCTTCAGTGGTCTCGCGGTCTCCCCCACGTACTTTTCTCCACATCCTCCACATTGAATCAAATAGACAGTGCCCTGGAGTTCACAGATCTTCTCAGAAGTGCAGTATCGACAAGACTGTTCGCGGCACCGTCTTTCGTAGATTCGGGATGATGTTAGGAAATCATTCAGTGTAGGGGGAGGTCGGAAAACAAGTCGAATGGGAAGCTGGGAGTTTTTGACGACGCGGTTAACCTCACGTGCCATTTTGTCGTTGACAAAAGGCACAATGAGGCTTACACCATCAGCCGTCCTGTGCGGGACCCAGGTCCTTGTATTGCCTTCGAAGTATCCGTTGCTTTCGAGGATACTTCCAATTTTAGCATCAACAACTGAATCCCTTCGCGTCCCAAGCTTCTCCTTCGTTTTCAAAAGATTCCGCACGACGTTTGCCTTCATATAAATGGGATGTGCGCTTCTAGAATGCAACAAGANGACGAGGCACTTTTTCTATACCATAGGTGTTCCTTATGACCTTCACTAATTCGTGTCTTCGCATTGAGGAATGGAAGGAATCCATCCCTTCCCGGATCTTCCCTTGTGAAGGTTATGTTAGCATCGTGAGAGTTAAGTCTCTTCAATGTTTCCACAAGGTCTTCTTCCGTCGTTCCGATAACGAATACGTCATCAATATAACGTTTGTAGAATAAAATTCCACTAGTTAATGAAGACTTCTCGATGTGGTCCAAGAAGATTAAGAAGATGATAGCAGTATTTTAAAATAATTACGTTGTTATGAAAAGCTATTGTCAAAGTGTTTAGTTTTTTTTCCGTTCCAAGCGCTCCTACCAAGAAGGGAAAGCTCTCATGTTTTACTCTTAAACTTTTTCACTGTCTCCTCTAATTCAACATCGATGGCACAGTTTACGATGGAAACGGTTTCCGAGACTTTCTATAGGATGAATTTTAGGCCCCCTCGTACACTATCAGGTCTGAAAACAGGATAGATAGGACGTTATAAAGGCTAAAAGATTGTACTGCGTGTATCCTCGGACGAGTTTCATTGTAAAGGCTGCACCCATCACGAGGGAGCCCATGCAGGAAGTTCAAACAACTTGTCATGACCAATAGCAGCGGTGAAAGGCAGCTCTGTACACTTGTGGCTTGATTTAGTCGGCTCTTTGCGCAATTGCAACAACCGAAATCTCGTCCGGATACCCCTTCCATGTTATTTCCGTCATGGTAATCTCGTCCAACCTCTATTTTCTCTACTTTTAAGGGGCCTTATTTTCTCGAAATCTGCGAATTTTTTCGCTTTCTTCACTACCAATGAACTATTCCCAACCTATACTTCCGCTTTACGACCAAAAAGAGTACCTCAAACTTCTCGTGGACTGTGCCTTTGAGTTGGTCCAATTCGCCCAACTATGCGAGCGTGGGAAACCTCTATAGAGGCGATACTTGGAGTCAATTAACACGGAAACCTCGTTTCGGTTAAACTTAAGCACGAGTTCCCTTCGATACCCTCATTCTTTGACCAGTATTTTCTTTTGGGGCTTTGCTATGTATAGATAACCTTTCTAGCCCCTCTTTGGTACAACAAGCTCCTAGTCCCTAACATGATGGTTCACCATGCTTCGTTCCAAATGGAGAACATGAAGAATAGGCTGATGTCGTTCGTACTGTAAAGGGTAGAGTATTATGAAATCAGCTGTTAAAAATAGAATCCATGACGAATCAGCGGATCTTTGATCAATACTAATTTTTCTCTCTCGCTCTCTTCTTTGCCGAACTAGTTATGATTGTCGGAAACAACTCAACATGATTTCATAAACTACCCTTTCTATTTCTATTTTTTTAAATTTATTCCTATTATTGACAAAAACTGTAGGGCGAGTTTTTATGACAACAAAACTCAATCGGTACCACGTGAATATTGAAGATCGCAGCTTTTCAGCTTCTGATCACGAATCCTTCTCAAGAAGCATTTATTCAATTCCTGAACGAATCACATCATCAGAATCATAACGAATCAATATCACGGGAGCAATTGGAGGTGTGTTTTTATGAATATATGGAGAGAAAATGGAATTTGGTCCTAAGAAAGGTTGAGTGATAGATCGTTCATGCGTGGGATTGATTGATGGTGTTATTCAGTTCTGACTGCTCCCTGACCATGCCATTGAATAGTTTGTTTTTAGGGCAGGTGGTCATTTATCATCTCGGTCTTTTTCTGGGGATGTTTGGCAGGTGCATTCCTCATTCGAGTCCTTGCCGAGAAGTTTGGACGCAAGAACGCGCTTCAGGTGAAATTCTTGAACGTTTCAGATTCAGTGGTGTCAGAATCACGATAAGTGTCAGTCAAGAATAAAATCGTAGTGATCTGTAACGTATTAAAATCAACTTTTCAGATCTCTCACGTCATTCAAATAGTTTCGTGTATGCTTTCGATATTCAGCTTTTACGTAAGTTTCTGATTCATCTGGTTCCTTTTGACCCCTCAGAATGGCAACAGTCATTGAGAATGGCTCATGGGTTGGCTGGGTACGAGTAAGCTGTTAGCTATTTCGAAGGGGCATCACCTCCGATACCAGTGACACAGAGACTAAATCACCAATATCTTCGTTATCTTAGCAAGCTCCATCGCCATGTAAAAGACACCACATCTCCCAGTGATGTAATTACTTAATTTGGTTGATCGAGTGGCTTGACTTGCCCATGAGTGCGAGTTTCTGTTTCTTCACAAAGATAGAAAATAAAAATTTAGAGAAACCTATAAAGTAGAAACCTAAGCACAGTTTGGTTGAGCATGGAAGTTTCATGAAGATAATTCATTTCAGGTAGATAACTATTGACTTATTAAAAGTATAAAGTATAGGATAAAGTCCTTGGGCGTTAAGCAATCCCGTCTGGAGGATGCACCCACACACTAGACTTCCACTGAGAATCGTAGTAGCGGATTGAATGCGGGTGTTGCCCAAACAATGACTTGCGGTGGCCAGCCGATCTACAAGCCAGCGCTTTTATCCTCCCAGACGAGTTTGGTGCTGATTTACCGAACCGGATGGAAGGCTGAGGCGGATGGAAGGCTTGTTTGACCTTCTAGGAGGATATCGAACTTCGATTCAAAACCGTGATCATGCCTGCGTGATAGTGAGCCACTTGCCCCTTCATCACCCCCGCCCATTTTCAGACTGAACGATAAAATCTTTTCTAGCTGATCAATCTTTTTTTTGGATGCGCCCCGCATTCGACTTCAATTTAGAGTTGTAGGGGCGTTTTGGATGCGTATGTGACCTGTACAGTGAGTTGCGGCGGCCAGACGAAGCACAATTCAGTGCTTGTATCATTCATTACTCATGGGTGGGAACACATTAGGTAATCCCAAAAGGAATTTCGAGAAAGTAGGATAATCTGGCCTGAGCAGGTATTGATCCAGGATTCGTCCTCCAGACCATCCTCACGTGTGACGTGTCACTACATTACCTCCTTTCTATTACCTCTAACAAATAATAGTATCTCAGGAAAAAGAGTGGAGGGATGGTTTGAGTGGGATTGGTTGCCGGCACGGCTGAGTAACGCACCACCCCTCAACTGTCCAACTGCTCCATAAAGCGAACAATTAATTCGCTTTGTCCATGGTTCTGGCCGAAAATGACTACAGTAAAATTGACTCCTCATTATACACACATATTCGTTACTGTTAGCAAACAGAAGTACATCTAATTGTGAGTCGCCGGCCCACGGCTCTTCACGGAAGTTTCGAGTGATGGGTCACGGAATCATTCGTCCTCTAGGCGTATTAGAGATATTGCAATGCCGGAGAATGTGTTATACCTATTCAATACCACCAGAGTTACAGTAAAACACATCTAGTGGATCCTGTAGATCCGGCATCTGATGTTGACACTGTCCATGGTCAAAAAAATCCTTGTCCAGTGCGCTTCTCTTCACTTCCGTTGCCGTGCTTTCGTCGGAGAGTTGTTTTGCTATAGAGCTTGCTGGAATAATGCGGAGACTGGTGTTTTAGTACTACTCTCGTGTTACTGCAATCGGAAGTGTTTTCCCTTTCCCCACAAATGACAGCTAGATTTAGGAAATGACATGACATCGAGAGCGCTAAACTTCGACTTGACCATACCGATTTTTGCAGCAAATTGACGCGGTCATCTATTCCGTTGCTCGTTTCTTGCTTGGCTTGGGAATCACTATTTCCTGTGGTATCGCGCCAATGTTCATCGCAGAATGCAGGTAGATTTTCGCTTCTTGCTTGACAATAACATTAATGCATGAATCATATTGCCTAAGGAGACTGATGGGGAACCTTTAATCATCCCATTTCTCTTACTCGAGAAAAAAAAACTAAATTTGTAAAATCGAATGAAAATCGGCCCACCTTAAAGATTGTTTGCTTTCTTACTTTTACTTACATCAAGGGCTGGGATTATCTTAAGAACATTACAAACAGAATATACCCATAAAAATAATGCTCAGGCCTCTAATAAACGGCTACGTAGCGTAATTGTGGGAAAAAGACTCCCTAAAACGATGTAAAATTGCAATTAGTCTGGTGCCAGTAAATGAGAACTTGCCCAAACATTCAGCTCTTGTCACAGCGCTTGCGCGTTCTTGGAGAAAAGGTTGAAAATGACACCTAATAATTTTGCCAAGTTTCCTTTTGAATTTTTTTTCACAAACAAGCCTCAAGAAAAAGCTATACTGTAACGGAATTCGAAGCATGGCTATAGCTTACGGTGAGGTTATTCTTACCCTTCGACCATTTATTCGGTGAGCGAACCATACGTGATCCTAGGCTGATTAGATGAATCGAGGCTCTTAAGAACATATTTCACAATATAGTATTTCAGTCCAAAAGAGTGCCGTGGAGTTACATCCATGCTTAATGGTTTGTTACTACAAGCAGCTCTTGTTGTTGGTGCTATCCTGGCAATGCCTCAACTGTTCGGAAATGGTGATGATTGGTGGAAACTGTATGCAACGGAATTGGCCATCACTACGATTGTCATGATTCTCGTAATATTCATCCACGATACCCCAGGGTAAGTGCGATCTCCCTAGAGGCACAGTTTACAGTAATTCAAAGGTAGTGCGTAGCTTAGATGGAATAATGAAGCTCATAGTGAGGGATCGTGCAAAAGTGTCGAAGAAAGCACGAAAATTGGAGGGCTCTAGGAGATTAATTAACCCTTTGACGACAATGCGGATTTCGGCGTGACGCGCCCATGGGAGCATTCCACCTTTTTCGCGCGCGCGACTGGCACCCACTGGTAGGTGACACTGTCCCAGGAGAAAATTATTTCACTGGCTTACTGAATTTAGCAATTGGTAAGAATAAAGAAAGTATGGTGGCACTCAAAATTGGGTGCCAATGTCCCATGCGCTAGTCATAGTGGCACCCACCGGTGGGTGCCATTGTCATCAAAGGGTTAATAGAATTAGTAAGAAGGAACGTATACGATAGCCTAGCCGCCTGGCGTCTCCCACATGGGCGTATATTCTTCGGTGTCCTATCGCTTTGTTGTGAATGCTGCACCCTTAACAAAGCCGTCACAACACGGCCACCTTTGGTTGTGTACTTCTTCCACGTCTGTTTTGGAGTCTTTGAAAGGTCCTGTCAAGGCCGTTTTCCGATCCGACTAGGTCCCACTCACTATCCTTGTCGGCAACTGGTCCACCCCAAGGGAAACTCTCAGAAAACTTTATCATGATCTGTACTTTTAATATGAATGAGCAGCATCTTTATTCGCACACGGCTTTCATTCCAGTAACCGTCGCTGGATTTCACCATATCTCACAAGGTCAAGTGCAGAAGTTCCCAATGTTTTCATTATTAATGGGTTAGCTTGCAATAACTGGGAGGCCACCGATTCCAGATAATAACCGATTGGGAAATTGCCGGCATCATAGATCAACTCAGAGGCTGGTGGCTGACAACTCACTCCCTGTGGATCAAGTTTTCGAGTAAACTACCACAGGCACTTCACTTCATTCCAAAAATTAGTTTGAAGATCACAAATGTACCACAGTTCCTAGCGAACTCCTAAAGTTGCTTTTAGTTACCTTCATGGCAGTAATGACGATCGTAGTGAACGTGCTGTGCGATTCTATCACAACATTAGTGGTGATGCATTGCAATCTACGTTGAAACAGTTGGATCAGGACACCATTGATTTCCAACGAGTCGGGCTTTTCTCTATATGGAAAGTGAGTAGACAAGTTTTACCAGAAGAGCTATGCTGGAAATGATGATTATTCAAGAACCCGATGGCTCGACTTGGAACTCTTGTCGGTGGAGTAGTTGCAGTTTCAATGGTCATGAGTGGAATAGCAGGTAGGCCTTTAGCCCTTACTTATCCAATGTTTTCAAGTTGACTAACTTTTTTCAGCCATAAATGCTTTTTCGTTTGAAATACTTCTCTCAACTGGATTGACCGTTGAACAGGCATCGTTTGGCAATATAGCCGTCTGTTTGATGAGCGTGGTATGCCTTGGAGTTTTCTGACCACAAATCTAGCATCTTCAAAATATTTTTATACCTGACTCCACCTTTTCCAACGGATTTCGACATTAATGTCCTATTTTTAGTTCGGAATATTGTTCTCAGCTCTGATCGTTGATCGCTTGGGTCGTCGTGTACTACTTCTTACGACATATGGCCTGCTAGCTGTTAATAATCTCGTCATTGCAGGGCTGATGTACGGTTTCCAGCGGGCTCAGGTATGATCACTAATTGTCTGTATAGCTTCCTTTGAAAAATGATTACCACGCGTCTCTGTTGGTAGCAGCGCTGTCTCCAATCATTTACACTCAGTATGACTATGGTTCAATATGATTTTCTCAGGTCACCTTCTTGAAAACATCGTTTTTCACCAGCAAATCGGAGAATCACTTCAAAAGAATATATTTTGGTGACATATTGTTACTCTCCGTTTTGATAGCCCGTTCTATGCCCACTTCGTCCCTTCACATTTAGAGCACAACTGTCACGCTGACGAGGTGGCCATATAAAGTGCACGAGGATCTTTTCGGTCGGTCCGATCCAGTCAATCGAGTCCTTCCACTCAGGCAATTGCATACCAACTACAGCGCATGTTACCCCCGATTCACTGAGAGTTAAAGGCCTGGTTGACTCAGATGCCGTCAACAAAACTTTGCAACAAATAGCAATGCTTACATGCACATCTTAACTCTGAGCTCAGCTCGCAGTTCCACAGCTGCTTCATTCGGTCAGATTTTGAATATAAGGAACTCATTTCTGAAAAATTGCGTTTATTTTGTGTGATAGTATAGCCTTATAACGATATATTCAAAATAATGGAACTGAGCCCCCCTCGCTCCCCCCCATAGTCAAGCCACTAGGATATCTGTAGTGACCTAACCGCCAACTCCGTGGCCCACGTAAACGAGAACTATATATTTGCATATGTGTGGACTGCTGCAAACGCCTAAGGCGGGGCATCATAAGCTATCGCAGGATAAACCAAGCTGGGGCTACTAATCGGTTGTTAGTAATTGAAGGGTTGATACAATGTTTGGGTATTTTCTGCTTACAATATGATCGTTTGAAAGAACTAGTAAACCAACCAATTTCATGTTCTTCGCCTTTTTGAAAAATCCTTGTTCAGAGCAACTCATTCGGATATCCACTTTTGGCAGCGGTCTGCCTGTTCAATCTACTATTTGCCGCAGGACCTGGTCCAGTGGCCTTGTTCATCACCGCTGAACTTGTCGATCAGAACTCTCGAGGAGCGGCCTGCACTTGGGTCAATGTGTTTATGTGTGCAGTGTAAGCTTCTATTCTTTCGCCATCAGCCGTTTTGATCTCATAATGGACACCATTTTCAGGAGATCTGTCCTCATTGCATGCTATTTACCTCTGAAGAATTTCATTGGCCAGCCCTTGGCGTACTTCTCGTTGTTTTTCTGGCCGATGGTAAGTGCTGTACTTGGTTTTACCATGAAAAATTCCATATTCCATTCTGCATAAGATATCCTAACTTTGAAGCAGTAGCGGTACATAGTTGGGTGAGTTAGTTGCGGTGTTGCATCTTCGACTCAGTTCACTCAGACGTCACATTCACCTGGATGTTTCCTCCGAAATAGACGATCCGAGTCTAAAAACCATTTTCACTATAGCTCAGAACCAAAAGTTCTACGGACATCATTTCCTCACCCACTCATCCGCCGGGTGATTTTTTGGAAGGGTTTTTTAAAAACTAATTGCTTGATCAAAGATGTATGTATTAAGTTGGCTGAAATTCTAATCTTAGTGATAATCGCTACACAACGATGGAGTCACCTACGCATTCCAGACAATTCCATTTTAATAAAGATTAGGGTCCCTTTTCCCTTCGTTATGGCGACACTATAAGGCTCTAGAGCCATGTAATTTCAGTCCGGTGATTCATAACGACGCCATGTTACATAAAATAAAAGAAAAAGTTCGAATGATTGACTCCTAGATGTGCACATAGACGACTATCGCCAGCAACTGAATAGATCGTAAAATATAATATTTATGTCCCTGGAAACGCTCTTGTCATTTTGGCAAGGAGTAACTAAGGGAAAAACCTGACTCATGAGGCAAGGCCTGTCTCATGCTTCATTATTTGGCCTATGAACTCAGCCATGTTATGGAAACAAAATGAAATGGAAATGGCGGGGTAACTAAATGATTAGGTCACGGAATGAATTCACTGTACAGCTCCAGCATTCCTGTCAGGTCGGCTAGTAGGAGTCCTTGTATCGACCTCTCGTACCGTGGTACTGTTGGACAATTCTGAGTGTTTGGGTAAATGGGAGTAGGTCGGCTATCCAGGAGAACCTGACTGCTACAGGATACCTTGATATTGTGCGAAACGATACAAGTGTTTGATAGGAAATGGGTGGTGTAAGACACTAGAAGGCAGATAAACATGCAATCAATAGCATTTATCAGATGGGAGTTGAACTTCAAGTGAGATAAGAAAGCACAAAAATAGCTAGTACTGTTGTTAATGGTATATCTCATTCAGGTATGTACGGTCATTCTTTTGTATTTCTTCCTGCCCGAAACAAAAGGAAAAACAGCGCTAGAGGTTCAAGAGACCTGGAAAAGCCTGCCTGCACTGTGCAGGAAACGACGACAAGGCTCTGCTTCAACGGCAGCGTCTAAAGCGTGAAGCTACTCATTCGATGTTCATTCCGTTGATTTTTCCTTCTTGCACTGTTTTTCTATGTATTTCTAAGACTTTTATTTTATAGTACATATAGGTAGAGATACATTCTATTGTCAATATCGTCGCATTCTATCATCCGTTTCATTTATATCGGGTAATTGTATAATATCTATAGTATTCACTAAATATTATTAAGAAATATAACATGAAATAAAAGATATCAGATTTTGTGGCTGTTGAAGGGGTGCTAGCAAGAAAAGAGAGGAGTTGGGGATACTGCCATGATGGCGAACAAATATGGTAGTGTTTATAGGCTCTGTGAAAAAACATAAAAGACATGTGTCCAAATTAATGGAGATGGGAAAGGTCGATCCCTGTGCACCTACTCCTATTGTTATGAGCCCAGTTGTCTGATGTACCCATTCGATCACCTGCGATTTTCGCTGGTATGCTTTTACTTCGGTGAGCGAACTCTTTCCCTTCATCTTAGGTTTTGATCCATCGATTTCAATGGACTTGACTTTTAGCACTTTTTTTTAAATATGATGTTTATTTTGAAAGTGAAGCATGCATATGTGAACTTTTTTCGTTAAAATCGTCCGATCGCCGCAATCAACGCTGATGCTATCTTGTTGAAAAGCAGAGAATTATACTCTTAAGTAAGAAAGCTCTTATGTTCGTCACTCATCGTCAACGATTTGCACTCAGCATCTCTCGAACTATCACCATTTTGTTTCTAAAGTAGCGCCTAGTGAAGTTCATGCGAAGAGAGTTACGAACAGGGTGTACAGATCTACATAAGCTTTTAACCATTCTTTGGATTAACTGAGGAATGAAAGGCCGTCTGATGGAAAACAATTGCAAGTATCATTAGATTTCAGGCTCCAATGAAGCTTTAACATATTCTCCAAGGTAAATCGAACATATTGGAAGCAACTTTTCTATCTAGAGGCTTTTTGAGGTTAGAGGTCAGGGTTGAGAACGGTACTCTGTGAAATAAGTCGCAAACTGTAATTATGATCAATAGGCAGACAGAAAAATAATAGAGGGTTTCAAGAGCTGTGTGTGTCGTTGCGTGGATGTCGGTGGACGTAATTGACCGGGAATACATGACTTCCGTCCCCTTGGACATAGAGCATTCAAGTTTAGAAGAGATACGCAGGCGGCAGTATAAAGCACACTGATGGTAGATGATAGGGAAGGATAAAAACTGGAAAGGAAGATTTAGATTGTCTGAGGTTTGTCCGTTACAACCTTCGTATTGACATTGAAAAAGGTTTCACAGGATAGGTCGAGATGACAGAGTATGCTAAAAACAAAGAGTAATAAAAACAATTATGAGAACCGAACAAACTCAGTATCATACAGAAAGGAGGAAATTTATTAGGTCGTGAAGAAAGTTCTTGCGGTTTTTGACGCCCAATTTTCAAATGCTCGCCGCGATGTTATTTGCTACTAGATTTTTGCAAGTTTTATACCGTTCTATAGCGCATTTCTTGCCCTATCCAAATATATAATCGGTTTTGCCCTGGAGTGATTCCTGGGGTTTTTTAGAAGNCGAGATATATGCATTTGAAGTTTGAGGCGCAAAACCGCAAGAACTTTCTTCACGACCTAATAGTTTCCTCCAACCTATCAGGTTTTGGCGACTACGCCTTGAAGGTAGAGTTCACCATAATTCTGAGGCATGGTATTAGCTCGAGCGGAGATTTGGAAGTCATCCTAGAGAACATGCTGTCCTAAACTGGTCATAAACGCTGATTTCAAGGAATATAAGGCTTCGAATTTTTACTTAAAAAGGCGGTTGTTTGAGTTTGTGCCTATGTAACTGACCGGGTGCCTTCCACATATGCATACTACACGTCGGCTTCCTGACGCTAAACCGTTGTAACTTCTTGTGAATCGTGCGACGGGTTTGCTCCTAGGTCGGTCTTCCAGTCGGTTTTCCATATCACTACTTTTACCCTAATCATGGAAAGTGAAGAGATGGACAGACATATGGACAGTCTGAACGAAAGAATACGAAGTACTACTTAGGTTTTGTGGAGCGGAGATGGCTTAGGGGCAAGTCACCCACTACCTCTAGCCACGGGCTCAAATGCTAAGAGCTATTTCGAACAGAACCTTGTCGTTCAACCAAGTTCGATCGAAGTTAAGCCCCTCGGTGTCGGAAGCTACTGTATGGATAGCCGTGAAAAAGGGGCAACAGCATTCCAGGGCAGCAACGAAAAGAGATCCGAGGCCTACCGAACACCACAGGAAGGCACGACTTGAAATTGCTAAGTTAAAATTACTTTGAGATTGGACGAAAGTCAGCCTTACCGACTAGCCATACAGTCCAATATTCACGTTGAGGTCGTATTTCGGTGAAAGAAAGTTATTTTGGACAACTATTATTGGCACAACTTACCAAAAGAGCCGATCAGCTTTAGCCGTCGCAATTTTGGAGGGGGGAAGTGTCATTGTTATGGTACAGGGTACCTTCTGCAAAGATATCGGGCCTGAGCTTGCTCTCGTGACCTCCAAAATGGTCTCCAAGGACTTTCGAGAAGTCTTACAATGGCACCTGTGTTTTTCTGAGACGCGTGATCTTGACTGTACAGTGCTGTGATCCATGTTAGTCATACCACGAAAGACAGGCTGCATTCCCCAAATATCGTAGTTTTGGCAGGGCCAGCTTGCAGCCCTGTCTACATTCGATGGAGAATCTGTAAAGCATCGTTGTAGGGAAGATTTATGCGAACAACTGCTAGTTTCAAGCGACAGAAGAGCTCAAGCAGGCGATAATCGAAACTTGAAATGGAATCTCCGGCGAGGTACTTCGAAAACTGGTTTCAGTATGCCATGTAGGCTATTCGACATTGTGCTAGAACAAGGAGGACCTATCTACTACCAAATGCTTTTTTTTTGCCGTTAATAAAGATAAATTTTTCCTATTCCTAAAGTGACCATATACTTATGAAACGGTGCCAAAACCAAAAATTATTTATAAAAATGTTATGGTAGAATGGAATAATAGGTAGTTGATTTGAAAGATGTCCGTGAGTGGGGGTTATTCAAGGTAATGAATCTGATAGTAGCGTCTGAAACTTATCTGCTCGGATGCTTATCCTGTAAATACCAAATTTGAGGGTGATCTTATACTTATGGAACGCACTGTAGTTACGCGATACGGGACAGTATCACTTGCTCAATCATCTCCCAAGTTGAGTGAGCTTCCCGCTGTTAGGATCCCAGCTCTGTTTGTTGAAAGTTTTGGTTGTCCTCTGTTAGGATCCCCGCTCTGTTTGAAGTTCGCTTGTCTGGGATGCGACTGGTTCAGAACTCGCCTGCATCAAACGTGATAGCTAACATTCCAGAAATTTTCAAAAACGCTTTTAGGCGTTGGACATGGCCTTGTCGAAGGTCATTTGAATAAATGTTCCAACATTGAAAACCTGCTCGGCGCAAAAACACAAAAGGGGAAATTGGAATCACCTCAGTATCAATAAGGCAGTTGAAAACTTGAAATGAAGACTGTTATTCACGTTTTCTATACTGTCATTGTGGGCATCTCCGTCAGAGATTCTGACAATTTAAAGTGCAAATTTCGTGGGTGAAGGGTGAAGTGCCTGTACCTGTGCTTCATCTTTCGCCCTTGCGCATGTGTTCATTTGCTTAGAACAGCAGTAATTGATCTTCGTCGTGGCCCCGCTTCTTTGTAAGGAAGGTTAGCTCGACTTGTGCACTATAGGAATACTTGCAGTATGACGAGCCCCTCTGAGGTTGTCCACTTTGCATTTTCTTTAAGTTGAGCTCTACTGGTAAACTTCTAGCGCTAACTAAACCA